AGTTGCTCTTTTTTGGTTCAAAACTGGGTTAACTTCCTGGGCTTACGGCCCTCCTTCTAGCGCCAATTGTTGACGGTGTTTTTTTGACAACTCGTGAGTATCTCCCAAAAACACTCGCGAGACCACACTCAAGATTCGGTTAAGGATTAAGACTGAAAAATAATGTAAAGGAGACAACAATTTTATAGTGGTTCGGCAATAATTCTTTGCCTTATCCACTTGTGCATGCACTAATGTTTCAACCGGTTACAAGCTCTCTTTTCTTAGTAATGAAATGGTGTTTTGTGTTGTTGTTCATATGTTTTTAAGATGAGAATGTAGTTAAAAATGTTAAAAAAACTACTAAAATAGTAATTTTAGATGGTAAAAGATGGGTTTACATTGTCTGATATGAAAAAGATCTACTGGGTTTAAAAAAAATGGGACTAAATCTCAACATACCATCTGTTGGGATGGTGTGTTCGTGGTCTGTTCATATTCTAATGGTTTGTTCATGGTCTGTTCATATTCTAATAGGTTGTTCGTGGTCTGTTCATATTCTAATGGTCTATTCGTGGTATGTTTGGTTTGGTTTAATTACATATTATTATCCTCATTAAATTTTTATAGTTTTAAAATCTAAATAATGGCTAAGTGGAGGATTTGTTTTATATATTGGAGGAAAATGGGAGGAGAGTGAAAGTTGTTGGGTGTGGCATACAAACTGTAATTTGATTGGCATATATATGGATGAGAAGGATACTCTCGAAACCTTCATTAATAAGATTTACAAAAAATGTCAAATTGATGGACAAAAATATTCCTTGCAGTTATTGTGAGTACCGAATTTGAAACAAAAATCGTTGCCCGTTGTAATAAAAGACAATGATGATTTTTTTATTTTTTAAGGATATAGCCTACGAGGTACTGTTACACGTGATAGTGGATGAGAAGTTTATGAATGCAGAAGAACATATTGATGGAGTAGAAATTAGGAGAAATCATTTGCATGACGATTTCTTTGATTGTGATTTTATGGGTATTGTAGCTAAAGATGAGTTTTCGACAAGTAATGATATTCCACCACAGTCGCAACCATAACCAGAGTCACAACGACAACTAGTGCCACAAGCTAGAGCCACAACCACTTGCCATTTAAAATGAAGTAGAAGTTGCCGGTCCTTTAGTTTGTATCAACCAGACTAAGTTTGGATCATCTCATGGATCTACCTTCAGTGACGGATCTAGTTTAGAAGTTTGTCAGTACTTTACAAGTAAGAATGATTTGAAGGAAAAGCTGCATTTAATAGCTTTAAAGAGGAAGTTAAAGTTTCGAACAACAAAATTAAATAAAGATGTCCTTGTAGTAGAGTGTATGGATCCGAAGTGTGTGTGGCGTATCCGAGCCTGCAAACTGAAACTATCAGATATGTTCGTAATCCGCAAGTATAATGGTGTTCACTCTTGCTCGTTGGAAAAGCGTTCGGTGAAGCACATGCAAGCAACGTACTCCATTATTGGGAGTTGCATGAAAAACCAATTTATAGGCGTCAAACAGGGTCCGGTTCCCAAATCAATTTAGAAATATGCCCATTGATGAATTTGGGACGGACTTTAGTTATTACAAAGGATGGAAGGCTCGTGAGCATGGACTTAAACTCGTAAGAGGTACGACCGAAGAAAGCTTCACAAAGCTCTTATCATACTTTCATATGGTGTCTCTTACTAATCACGGCACTATCACCAACATTCATTTTGATGACCATAACCGTTTTATCTATTTTTTCCTAGCATATGGACCTAGTATCAAGGTTTTGATTGCATGAGGAAAGTTATCAGTGTTGATGGAACGTGGTTGAAGGAAAAAATTAGAGGTACGTTGTTAGTTGTCATCGCACATGATAGTGAACGCCATTGTTATCCCATCGTATAGTACATTGTAGACTCAGAGAATGATGCATTCTGGACATGGTTTTTCTCGAACTTAAAGGAAATTATCACTGACTCCGAGGAATTAGTTATAGGAATTAAAGTAGGTGTACTAGGTGTGGGCAATATGAACATTATCAGAAGAAATGTAAAAAAGCACCGATGTACTCATGAAAAAAATAATATTGTTTTTGACAATTGTAATATTTTTTTTGGCATTGTAATATTTTTATACTTATTATATTCAACATGTTATTTTGGTTTTGGGGAAGCTTATAATTATAGAGAAATACTGCCTAAATTTTTAGAACAGAACACATAAGTGTAAGAACAGACCATAACCACCAGACCACTAATAGACCAATAATAGACCAACAAGACCAGACTAAGAACACACCGTGACCAGACTATGAACAGACTAACCAAACTAAGAACAGACCAACCAGACCAAGAACAAACTAACAATACCAAGAATAGACTAAGAACATATTAACCAGACCAACCAGACCAAGAACAGACCATGACCAGACAATGACCAGTCCATGACCAGACTAAGAACAGACCAACCAGATTTTGGACATACTAACCATACTAAGAGCAGACCAACCAGACCAAGAACAGACCATGACCAGATCAAGAACATACCAGACAAATCAATGTTTAATAATGTTTTTTTCACTTTTATAAATTTTAGGTGTATATCACTGATTTTGAATTGAATACTTATTAATTTTTACAATGTTAGTTAGTTATATCTATCACAACATAACTTTATTTTATACATGATATCTTACATAATATGTACAATTATGTCTTTACTTGTTACATATCACGTTTAATTAAACACTTTTTATAAATTTATTATATTATTTTATCAGTATATTGACTAAGTCATGTCTTAGTATCGAAAAAATTAAAAAATATATTAAAAGCACTTTTTTTAAAGTTTGTTTTGGGTCTGGTCGTGGTTTATTTTTGGTCTGGTTATGGTCTGATCGTGGTACGGTTGGTATGTTCTTGGTCCGATCATGGTCTAGCCATTCTGTTCTTAGTTTAGTCATTTTGTTCTTGGTCTGATTATTATGTTCATGGTTTGGTCTTATTTGATATCATGTTTAATTATATCTTTTTATAAATTGATGATGTTTTTTTTTCAATTTTTTTTCAATTTTTAATAACGTTTTTTTATAAATAAGATATTTCTCCATTATTTGAGACTGGGTATGAAGCTTTCCAAAAAATCAACAAAATCATCATGGTCTGGTCACGGTCTGGTCTGGTCGTGGTCTGTTCTTGGTCTGATCGTGGTACGGTTTGTTTGTTCTTGGTCTGATCATGGTCTGGTCATTCTGTTTGTGGTCTGGTCTTATTTTATATCATGTTTAATTATACATTTTTGTAAATTGATGTTTTTTTTTTATATTAGAGCAAATTCTCTCATCCCGAACCGAGCTGGCTTTCCGTTAACGAGGAACTACAACTCATGTTTCTTTTATGTTTATATCTACCTCAGAAGCAGATAGTGTGTCAACATTCTAAAATACGTCATGTTATCGGACATTGAAATCAAATGTCCCAAGGCAGATCTCCTGAAAATTGGCAGGTCTCCAAAGGTTGATCTTCACTGGAAAGTACTTCCGCTTCGGATCCATGATCGTCCTTAATTGTTCAATCCCTGGAAGGTCATCTGGGTTGTACTTCGGGAGGTGATTCTGAAAAAAGAAAAAACACATTGATCATTGAACAACATAGTATAAGAACATATTATAAGAACAAACCATGATATATATATATATATATATATAGCATAAGAACAAACCATGAACAACGAACAATTATCATAAGAACAGACCGTGAACATACCACGAACAGGATATATATATATATAGCATAAGAACAGACCATGAACAACGAACAATTATCATAAGAACAGACCGTGAACATACCACGAACATACCATTAACTTTTGAACAACATACCATTAGAATACCATGAACAGACCATTAGCTTATGAACAACAGACCGTTAGAATACCATCAACAAACCATTAGAATCAGAACAGACCACCAACATACCACAATTAGAATGAGAACAGACCACGGGTAGACCATTACAATGAGAACATACCACAAACAAACCACTATTAGAATGAGAACAGACCACGAACATATCTTTAAAATGAGAACATACCACAAACAAACCATTAAAAGACCACGAACAAACCATTAGAATGAGAACAAACCACAAACAAACCATTAGTGAGAACAGACCACGAACAAACTATTATAATGAGAACAGACCACGAACAGACCAATAAAATGTGAACAAACCACGAACCGACTACAAACAGACCATTAGAATGTGAACAGACCACGAATTGACCACGAACAGACCACAAACTGACCACAAACAGACCACGAATAGACCACAAACTGACCATGAACGGACCACTAGAATGTGAACAGACCACGAACTGACCATGAATAGATCACTAGTATGTGAACTGACCACGAGCAGACCACCATGAACAAACCCTAATGTATATTCTTATTTTTTTTATATTAAGTTTTTGTTCTTGTAAACATGTATCAAAAAATAAAACAAGAATAAAAACCTTAATGTGAAATCAAAGAGGGTTTACCCGAGGGAGAGCAGATTTCGTTGTCTCGTCGACAAGGGTTCGTGGAATGGCTATCTCAGTGGAGAAAGAAGAGTTACTTTGTGATGTCATTTCAGTCGTGAAAGTCACCGGTGGAGAGAGATAGAGCGTTGAATGGTGGAGAGTGTGGTTGTTATGTCGGTGAGTTCGTTTGGTCGGTGGTCGGTGGGTTGGTCTGGTCAGGGTGGGATGGTCTGATCGGTGGTTGGTGGGTTGGTCTGGTCGGGGTGGGATGGTCTAGTCGGTGGTCGATAGGTTGATCTGGTTAACGTGAGTTAGACTCGTTGGCGAGAGAGAAGTAGAGATAGGGTCTGATCGGCGTGGGTTGGTCTAGTTAGCGAGAGAGAAGCAGAGATAGGAAGTTAGGAACGGTTAGTTTGTTTAATTATGAGAGAGAAGTTTTTTTAAAGTGATCTTTTTATATACACATGGATCAAAATAGAGTCAATTTTTTGACACACGTCAAAGTTCTTTTATTATAAAAAAAAATAATCTAGATCTCCGATTCCTGTTTTCTTTTGGTCCCTTCAAATTTTCTCGTATCTGTCCAACCTTCCTCAAAATTCTCTCTTTAATCAACTACTATTGGTTGCTCTCTATTCAGTTTTCCACTAATGGCAACTCTCAACACCATCATCACTCACGCCCATGTCCATGGCCTCCCTCCACTCACCAACAAATCCTCCGCAAAATCCCACAACTCCAATTTCAATCTCTCTTCCCAACTCTTTACCAAACCAGAGAGCTTCTCCACCGGCAAAAGAAGAAACTGGGTTGTCGTCGGTGCCGTTACGGAGGACCAAGAGGTGGCTCCGGTGAAGCCTGGACACCGGAAGGACAAAGAGAGAGGCTTTTTGGTTAATGGGTCCCAACAATTTGATGCTTTTTCAACGTTTTTGCCTCTTTTAGGTGAAGGAGATGATGATCAAGATTTGGATAGGCTCACCAGTAGAGCTATAAACGCTGCGATTGTTCTTGGATTTGGGACCTTTGCTATCACCAAGTTGTTCACCATTGACCACGATTATTGGCATGTGAGTTCTTTGTTTTTTTATTTTTTTTTATTTTTTGGGCTTTGTAATCCAAGAGATTGTTATATTGAAAAGCACCATTTGCGGAAAAGGTAACAAGTTTTCCCAAAAGTGAATTTTCCTTGTGTTGGGTATTGTACCCTTTGAGGTGGATACTTTAAAACAAATAGAATTTTGATTAAATTGGATTTTTCTTTTTATTTCAATTTTTGATGGGTTTCAAAATTCAAAAGACAAAACTTGTGTTGGTCTAATTTATTTGCTATGCTTAGTTATCAAGAGTGGTCTAATATTGGACTGAAATCACTATTAGAGCTGATAATTTGGAAAGGGTCGTGTGTTTTTTGATATTAGAGCTCAATTTTTATTTTTGCTTTTCAGGGATGGACACTTTACGAAGTCCTAAGATATGCACCCGAACACAATTGGATTGCCTATGAACAAGCTCTTAAAGCAAATCCCGTTTTGGCCAAAATGATGATAAGTGGAGTTGTCTACGCCATAGGAGATTGGATTGCACAAGTAAGTTATTATCACATTGAAATCATGTTAAGAGGTTAATTCTTTGTCAATTGTCATAAATTATCTGCCCTTGAATTGAATATGCAGTGTTATGAAGGAAAGCCGCTTTTTGAATTCGAAAGAACACGCGTATTCAGATCCGGTCTAGTTGGGTTTGCTCTCCATGGCTCCCTTTCCCACTACTACTACCAATTTTGTGAGGTGATGATCACTTTCCAGATTTGCTATTGTTTGTTGATTTCCTGTGAGCGAGTGGCTGAAAATCGATTGCGTTTGTGCGCAGGCTCTTTTCCCTTTCGAGGATTGGTGGGTGGTGCCTGCCAAAGTTGCCTTTGACCAAACAGTTTGGGCGGCAGTTTGGAACAGTATCTATTATTTTGTCTTGGGGCTCTTGCGTTTTGAATCCCCAGCCAATATTTTAAGCGAGCTGAAGGCAACATTTTGGCCCTTGTTGACTGTAAGAAACTCTTCTACTTTTCTCATACATTTGTAATCGATTATTTGATCCAAAAAAACTTTTCTGTAAAAGTGTATTTTTTGAGCTGATTTATAGTTGACTGTATCCTCAGCCATTTTTTGGAGTTTGTTTTGTTTTTGCTTCATGCATTTCTTTTCATATGGTTCTGAAGATATCCAAATAACAAAAAATTACTTTTAAATTGATTAACTTCCGTTGTTGTCACCATAACTTAATAGGATGCTTTAAGATGTTGATGAGTTTTTCAGCCCCTTAAATGATTTGGGTTTTAAAGCTGTTGAATTTTATTTGTAGGAAAGTAGAAAGCAGACTATAAGCAATAGCATTCTTTAGCTACTTATTTGAGCAATGCTGACATAGTTCTCTCGACTGTGACGGCATATTTATCGTTGTTATTGGCTAGACAGGCAGGTTGGAAGCTTTGGCCATTTGCTCATCTGATTACCTATGGTGTTATCCCTATTGAACAAAGGCTGCTTTGGGTAGACTGCGTGGAGCTCATCTGGGTAACCATACTTTCAACGTAAGCATCTTATATTAATTGTCTAAATGTTGATAATTTCCTCCGCCGCACAAAAATCATTCATTTCCTTCTTTTAAAAGTTTACAACAAATTTTTTTTTTTCCCCTGCACTTTTTCCAGTTACTCAAATGAGAAGTCTGAGTCACGAATATCCGAAGTATCATCTGGATCAAGTTCTGATTCTTCATCAAAGCAAAAGCAATAGATACAAGGTACGACACTATAAACCAAAACACTTTTCTAGCTGATGTAGACCTGCTTTGGCATAACCGAGAGAAGACTCTTGGAAGTGTCTTTTAACATCACCATATGCTAATAGGGGACGCATTTTTGCGTGGCCAGGACTAAATTTTTTTGGTTCACTTATCATCTCAGATGCAAATTACTACACTGGAAGAGTGGTGACCATATCCATATAGTATGTTAAGAGCACAAATTCTTGTGGATGGTGGGGCTGCAAAGGAATGTGTCACTCCTCTTTGTTGAGGTCTGTTAATGGCTTACCCAAGTTTTCTTCTTGGAGGTGGCAGTTGGGATGGGCCAGTGGAGATCTATTTGTGGTATATTGTCTATGGTGTATAGAAGTTACGATGACAAACCGTTTTCTTTCGGTGCAAGAGACGGTTTTGGCAAATTTGTTATGTAAAGTCACGTACAGCACAAGAAAAACATAATAATAAATACAAAAAATTATCAAGAGTTCCCTTTCATGTCTGCGCATGTCTTTGTTTTTGTTTTTGTTTTTTGTTTTTTGTTTTTTGTTTTTTGTTTTTTGTTTTTTTTTATAAATACATTAGTTTTCATTGAAAACCTTTCATGTCTGCTACATATTCCCTTGCACCCTTTTGAGGTGCCTAGCTACTGCCATGCCTGTATTGTTAATGCAACTTTCTGATTTTTTATTTTATTTTATTTTTTAAGCTTTTCAATCATTTGAAATGAGTTCTTATTCTAATTTTAAACTAAAGTGACGTCATTTTCTTCTCAAACAACATGGAGGTCGTGTTTGGAGTTGGTTTGTTTTTGTTTTTCACATTTTTTGAGAAAGAAAAAATGAAAACGGGAGAGAAATGACGTTTGACACATTAAAGATAAAAAACGAAAATAAAAATAATTTTTTGGTTTAGTGTAAAATGGGACAAAAATGAAAAATGATTTTTAGTAGTTTTTCATTTTTTGTTTTCATTTTCTCTTCTCTCGAGCACAGAGAGAAGCATTAATAGATTTTTTTTATACTGAAAATAATCTCTTAATAAAATTACCAAACACATTTTTAAAAATAATTTTTGTCTGAAAACATTTTCATTTTTATTTTTATACAAAAAATAAAATCCAAAATTTGAAATCCGAAACGACAGGTCGTTTTTATGAACGACAGGAAACTTTTGATATTGACAAAACGTCTGTCGTGTTTCATATAAACCACAGCAAACCGTTATACACGACTTGCCGTTTTTGTATTTAAACGACAGCAAAACTTTATACCACAAACTCATGTGAAGTCATGTTGTTAACGCTTGTTGTACTGTGAAACGACAGCACGCTCGTGTACTCCGTTGAGTTCCGTGAAGCGCGCGAGATTAGAGCAAAAGAACCCCGGATCTGGAGAACTTTGCTTCATATTAAAACCCCATAAAATTTGTAGATCGATCCATGGTGGGTATTTCAAAATTGGGCAGAATCTGAAAATGGCGAAACTTGAACATGGCGAAACTTGAACCACTCGACCAAGAACCCGACCACGACGACAAGGAGAAGCCAAAGAGGAACCATGGCTCCACCAAGTTCTTCGTTTTCGTGGATTATCTTTTCCTCCTCATTTTCCTTGCCTTCCTCTTTTATGTTCTCTTCAAGTTCGTCGCTTTCTGATTCTTCACCCACAGAGACACATTGCTCTGAATCAGGTTCGTTTTTGCTCAAATGTTTTTTCTTTTATTTATTTATTTGCTTTCTCTTGATTCTTATGGATCCAACACTTTTGTTTTTGTTTTTTCTTTAGAAATTTGGGTGTTAGCTATAGCAACTTTTGAAGATTTACTGTGGGTCAAATCCAAAACTTTAGTATTTTTGTTATATCGTTCTTGTTTAGGGAATTTCTCGAATGTAATTGTTTTTTTTTTTTTTTCACTCATATTGAGATTACTCCTACCGTTTTAATTTACGTATTCATTTCTTTTATGAAGTTGACATCTTTATTAAAACCAATTCTTTTCTTGGTAAAAATAAAAATCCATGCTTGATGAGTGACCATTTTTTTTTTTTTTTTTACCTTTTATGGTGAAACCAAATACACACATTTCTTTTGAAGTACACACACATGTATATATTTTTTCCCTTCTTAAGAAACAGTTAGTCTTTTGTTTTCATGGCTTCGAAATTATCGCCTTTAAATGTATAATATTTTTATTTACGAGTACAAGTCTCACTTTAGTGCTTGAATACCTTGTAAAGAGTTTGTTTACTTGTATCTGTCTCCATTTATGACGTGATTGTTGCATGTTAGTTGTGTAACATCATGCATTAACTCGTTATAATGTGTTAATGATGCAGATGTAACCTCAAAGAATTCTTTCTGGACACTTTTTTAATGATGTGTTTTTCCGTAAGATCTGTTGATGTGTGTTTGCTTTGTGGATGGGAACTTCCATTAGTGATTGATGTTTTTCAAGAGCTAATTTTTGGCCTTAAGCTGGTCCTTTAATGTACATGGCTGGCGGTGGCGATTCACACATGACGTGTGACGTTTGCCACAGCCCACAGCCCACAGCCGTGATGTAACTGGAGATTGTTTGATATTATGGTGATGGGTTTTAATTAAGACATCTCTCATGCGAAACTAGCCCAACACAGTTCAGGAGCCCAACTTGACCTGAAAATTTAACCTATTAGGTCTTGGATCATTCTATGTATATAAACACCACTTCACATTCTCATCCACTTTCTATGTGAGAACACATACATGCACTTTTCTCAACAATCTCCCCCTCATGTGTGTGTTCACCGAACTCCCCCTCAAACTAAAGTTTCTAGTAGCCGGCACATCCAAGCATCACACTCTAAACGGGAGCCAAGTCGAGCATGGGAAGGGGGACGAAACCATGTGAGTCCACCAATGCTCCATCATCCGCACTTGCTACAGCACCAATTTTGGGATCACTAACTCTCCACAGGAGGCAACGTGGGAACTGCAACTGAGTGTGATTGTTTGACCCATACGAACCATCGACTCTGATACCACTTGTTGGGGAGACAACATATGCGAAACTGACCCAACACACTTTAGGAGCCCAACTTGACTCAAAAGGTTAACCTATTAGATCTTGAGTATTTCCATATATATAAACCACTTCACATTCTCATCCACTTTTCATGTGGGACAATACACACACTTTTCTTAACAATATTGTCATTAATGTTTAGTCCAATTTTATTTGAACGAAATGTTTAAATATGTATCAACAATGTAAATCTTGCATCGTGTACCATCAAGATGGTAGCCTAATGCCATTGAGCTTTGTAGATGGAATATCTCATGTTCGAGTCATGTGGAGCTGGGAAGCACTTGAGATTATTTTTTAACTATCAGTTGAATTTACATAGTTTTTAGTGAGGTTGGGTAGCGTGTTTCGTCTCTTAATACAAGTAGTTATGACTCAATGTGGTCATTCTTCACGTGTAGGGTCTCTTTGGGGATAGCTACGACCAGTAGTTGCTCACTTTTTTAGCATTAAGCACGAAACTTGGATCATATAGAGGATAATGAAGTCCTGATTGTATGGAAAATGATATATAGGAAATGCTGAGGAAATTCAGTGAAGTAATACACCAACATTTCTAAGAATGAATTCTGTTCCATCATTAATATGCCGTTCCTACTTATTTTGGTCTAAAAATGTATGGCTGTTACATCATGTATTAGTCTGTGGTTGGTGATCTTTTTATTAGCTTCATTTATTATAGACCTAAGAATGCAGCTAATTGATGCTTTCTCTTTATCTCTGTGTTTCCCTTTTCCTAAATACCATGAAGTTGATGTTTTATTCCTCTTGTTTTGCTGATCTGTTCTCTATTAACTTTGTTTTTTTCATCTTCGTAATGTTGTCGGCAGTAATGTCTTAAATCCAAGTTAACTAGATTCCTTTCATCCAAGAAAAGACAAAAAACAAAACACAAAAAAAGAAAAAAAAAATCTATTTTGTGGAATGTCTGTTAAACCCAAAAGAGATGGGATTATTCTAAATCTCCTGAATGCAGTTCTTTCTAATTACAATAAGTAACTTTACTTTTTTTTTTTTTCTTTTTTGTTTTGATGTTTGATGTGTGTGTCTAATTTTTTCATGCTTCAAGTGGAAAGGGATTCAAGTTGCGAAAATAGTCAAGTGCTCATTATAATTTGTGGCCGCATTCATCACTAGATGTTCATTTGTTTCTAGCAGGAGATCTTGCACTCTTTTTCCCTTGGGTGGATTTTTCTATTTGATTTTTATATTCAAAGGTTTTAATGAGGTCTCTTCTGCTTATTTTTAGTAGTAGGAGAGTATGATCTATTTAGTGAGAATTTTCAACCAGTTGATGTTCTTTTTTATTTTACTTTTCTTTTTTTATTTCGTTTAATTGAGCGGAAGCATGGTGTGATGCGACCTGTTCCTCTTTCTTTTTTTGTTTTTTTTTTTCAGAAAGCTGCAGGCATGATGGTAAAAAAGGCTTCACTTGGAAGGATATAAAGATGAAATGCCGGTGACAAATGAGCTTCATTTGTTATGGTCCCTGCTTTTTTTTTTTTTTTTTTTTTTTTTAATATTCATGCATTGTGCCGATATCGTTAATTATGTACATTGGCTTTAAGGAGAAAAAAAAAAGCGATCTCTCATTAATTGACGAGTTTATGGCTTGTCAAATTAGGATGCTTATCTTTTAGAGTTTGAGGAGCCCATGAGATGGTGCAATGTTAGAAGTCATCAATTTTAGATACCATTTTAGAGTTTAAGGAGGGAGAAGAATTAAGCATTCATTTTAAAAGGCCAATCTATCAAGTGGAGTGACCAAGCTTATATGTATATAGTTATGTTTATGTATATACAACGTGGAACAGAGTATTTACTCTTAACATTATCAATCCTTCTAGTCAAGACACTTTTATGTGTTTATAATAAAACTTCAACATCTGTCTAATGTCAATTCCTAATCAATCGTTTTATTCAAGACACTTTTATACGTTTATTAAAACTTCCACATCTTGTCAATTCATCGAAATCTTCTTTGATGGCACCACCTAAACCATAACCATGCATTTAATTGTTGCTTTGGTCTACCGTCACTCCTTTGATTGCGATATAAAACCTCTAAAATTTTTCACTTATTAGGCATATTGGATGTTTAAGCCAAATCAATCAAAATCATTTAATTCTGTTTCCGTTATTTGGATTTGACATGTTCATATTCTCTCTCTTCAGTCCCATTTTCTTGTTTTGAAGTCTCAGTTCAGTTGCTTGTTAAAATAACGAAGAATATTCAAAGTTGATGGTTCATAAATAAGAAAGACAAACTACATTCAATTCATACTGCTTAGGAATTACATTACAACCAGACCATGGTTTTATCACAACGGTACACCAAGACACAAACCTAGCTTGTTTCTTTATTGGAAATTAAACACTCTAGATACACTAACTCTTAACTTCACTAGAATGACACAAACGAGGAAATTGAAATCATAAATCTAGTAAACAGAATGGTAGCAAACCTAAGACTTGCTAATCAGCAGAATCAGGGACTGCCAATTACAGGACTACCAGTTACAGGAGGACCACCACTCCTGCCCGGGATAGGGACCTCGAAGCCAGGGTTCGGGACTAGTGTGTCGTCTCCACCCGGAATGTAACTGCGAGGCGTACTTGGTATGATGCCATGGCCAAGTGGCGCCCTACCTGTTCCGCTGCTGTAGGTGCCAGTGATTGGATTGTAATACAAATGGTCATGGTCCTTATGGAGGCCGTGATGGCCATGCAGCGGTGGCAGCAACACACGCCCTAAGCCTGGAATGAGCACGCTGCCATCGTGGTGATCGACCAGCCACTCAGGCTGTTTCACGTCAGCTCCCTCCTTCGGGACACTGCGTCCCGCAACTGCTTCATTGGCCATGGAGAGAAGAATGCAGAGGGAGAAGAGGAAAGCAATGAGAGATTGGACTTTGAAGGCCATTTTTGAACCAGTATTTTGTAGAAAATATGATGAGGTTGTGATGGTGAGAAGATTGGCAGAGAAGAGCTCTTCTTATAGTCGAAGGATTGAAGCGAGTTGGGTGAAGTTTTGGCGGTGAGTTAAGGAGATTCTTTTCTGTAGTGAGGCCATGGAAACGGCATGATACAAATTGCATACGAGGATGAAAAAGACAGGAAGGGAGAGGTTAGTGAAACAAGAGTATCCATTTGAGTAAATTAGTGCAAGCAAAAAAAAGAAAAAAAAAAAAAGGTGCTTCTAGTTTCAACAATCAACATGGTTTGATATATCATGTGTGACTGTTTGGTGTTCACCTACTACTATTCTTGTATTTCTTTGTTCTTTGCTGCAGCTGCTCTTACGGCTATTAATTAAACTTCATCTACAAGACTATCCCAATATGTGATGCCTCCTCATTCTTGCGTTTTATTTATTTATTTTGAAAAAAAGGAACATAAATTTGAACAATGAGGTCCCAACGACTGTAAGATTTTTTTTTTTTTTTCTTTTCTCTCGCTTGAACCCCCCTTTGGGTAAATATCTTTTGATAGAAGCCCTTTGGGTAACTTCAGCTCTAGTAAAAGTTAGGCTCTCATGATCTGATGGATCATCCATCAAAATTATGGTATCACACACAAGATGACAAAAACAACTTCAACAGTAACTGTTTAAAGAATTATACTCTCTCTTTTATACTTTTAGCGGACGTTTAGTTCATGGATTTAAAATCATTCTTCATGAATTATTTTCGTTTTACATGTGTTTTTTGTGAGAAAAACACTGTAGAGAACTATGAATCATGATTCAGAATCATAGACGAATACAGAAAACAAACGTCCCCTTAACTGTTAGAATTAAATCTGTATTAAAAACTATTGTTTTACCTTTTTCTACCAATCATAAGTGTTAAGATCATATCTGTATTAAAAACGGTAAGTTTGTCTCTCTGCTATACTTTTAACTGTTAGAATCAAATATGTATTAGAAGCTCTTATTTTATCTTTTTCTAACAATCATAAGTATTAGAATCTGTATTAAAAACGGTAGGTTTGCCTTCTTGTCTTTTTCTAACAATCAGAAGCGTGTTACTGGTAGGGTAGCGAACAAAAAGCTTCTATCCTCTCAGTGTAAGATTCCTCAATGATGGCTTTGATTACGGAAGTTGGACCTAGTGGAGCTCAAATCATTATCTCAATTTTTTCCCCCCTCTTTCACCCTAACATTAAAACAAGATTTGTTAATCATTGTTTCAAGTCATCAGCCAAAATAACCCTACCACCGAAGAAAAACAGAATGAAATGACCACGATGTCCAATATATCTACTCGAATCCAAGGCTTTTCAACCTTGCAAAGTAGAGAAGAATTAACTAGCATGAAAAAAAAATAAAAAATTGTGCTGGAGCTGTACCGAGATTAAGAATGCTAAATAGAAACAAAGATTAAGAATCTACGTACAATGTGGAAACATATGCACAGAAATACAGTGAGTTGCTTCTCCTGACATGGACCATTCACACTACATTTTTGTGCAATAGAACAAATTGATTTGTTAACCATGGACCTGAACAAACCTTGGACTTTTCTCCAATCAGTCGGAAAAATTTTCTTCCTGTTGGATTGAATGAGGTTCAAATGGAACGCATATTACAATTACAGCAAAACCCCATTTCATTTTTACATCAGAGTGACCAAAAAAAACAAAAAAAAAATTAAGCACCAGGCCTTTCCTCGGAAAATCTTGGAAGCTGAACAAGAGAGTTGACTCTTGTGACACCTTCCAAGCCCGACCAGTTTTGATCTTCACCTGCCGCAGCTTCTCCGTTCCCTTCAAGCTCAAATGGCAGTCTTCCATAATTTTCGATTTCTTCCGATGATCTTACGGTGAAGTTTCTCTGCAAAGATGGCTCAGACTTCTGGCCATCATCGGATTCAACTGCATTGCCCGAATGGTTGCTCTGAAGGGTTGCAGAAGAGAAGCATTGTTCTTCATAATCGGATTCAGAGTCCATTTTCCCGTCCAAAAACAAGCAAACAACCGTGCAGTCATCCATTTTCGAAGTTGGGTATTTGAGTTTCCATTCGCGAGCTGCTGAGTCCACCAAGATCCTTGCAGCCGAAAACCGGGTTGGAGCCAAGGATACTATCTCCACCACCTCTTCATTGCTCAAGACATCCCAGACCTGTAAAAACTTGAATTAGAATAAATCAAAAGCAAAGTAACTCAGAGTAACTCAATTTCTCATCTATATTCCTAAAAATTCCAAACACGTGATTCCATTTCGTTTGAGCAATCCAAAATCGTACATTTACCTCACAGCTTATAATATTTTGGATTCACTTAATAAATGGACACATAAAAGGGCAATAACCTATTAGTAGATTACCAGTTTTTTCATTGTCTGTTTTTGAGTGGAAGGTGGACGTAATCTATCCCTAAATAGTATCCATGTGTGCTTGCACATGTGAACATATTTAAAAGATTTGGATACGTGTATTTTTCTTCCAAATACCGGAACCAGAATTTGGTGGAACCCAACAATCACATGCATTATCTTAACCCGATGAGGTAGCTAGTTTTGGACTTAACCTCACTCGTTTGACCCCACGAACAAAGTAATCAGAACAAATAATTAATAAATATTGTTTGAATGTCATGAATGGCCTACTTATAAGCATGCTGGTCATCTCAAGTTACTATTACTATATTTTCAGTTCTTTCAATAGGTCTAGTTTGTAAACAGGATTAAGCAACTAAATCTCAAAAGAATGCGTACAAGTGACTGAATTGATGTAGCAGAAAACTAAAATAAGTGGAAAGATATGCGAAATAAGTGGAAAGATATGCGAAATGGTCGATTAAATACAAAGACAAGGAATGAAAGGATAATGTCATTTGTGAATTGGGTTTGAAGAAACTTGACACCTAGATCATCTATAAGTCAAATCACAAGCCCCATAAAATATATCCTCATTCTGCGCACCAGCAAATGCCATAGATTATTATTTCCAACATTTATCACCTAACTGTTTCTCTTATACTCATATAGGTCATTATAGAAAGACACTTATCAAGAAACAGCTGTATCTAGACTTGAAAACAATATAAAAAGGCTGATTTTTAGAGAGAAAACAACAAGATGTTTGGAAACAAGTAAAAATAATAATAATAATGGACAGATGGAAATTCAGAGCAGCAGGTTACCCCATCTGAAGCAAGGACGATGAACTGATCTTTCTCGGTAAGTATCCGATGCGAGAATTCTGGAATTGAGATAACTCCATATTCCTTTAAACAAAAATCCCCAAATGCCCGAGCCATTGCTAAACCGGGAGCATCATCGAACGGCAACCAGACTCTAGGAACTTCAGGTTCATCTTGCAATGCAAAGACCCGACCCTTGCAGCGTTTAATCCTTTCGGCTTCCCCTATAAAATTTTAAAGCAAATCAACAAAACCATACAAAATGAGCAGACATTCAAAACACAAACAAATCATAGTCTGTCATACTTGGCAGATCCGGCTTCAAATCAACTGTCAACTGAACGGCTACCATGGAATCACTGCTATCCTTAGATCCCATGATTGCTCGGGAATCCCCTATGTACCCCATGAAAAGATTTGATCCCTGGAAAGGGAGGGAGGGAGTTAAAACAAGTACAAAAATGGAAGAGTTAAGAAGAAGATCATAAACCTTCTTGCTTTTACCTGTTTGACTATAGTAACAGCAGTGCTTCCACTGCAGAAGCAATCCAAATTTGGATGGGATCTCAGCTCCTTGTCCATGGCCTTATATGACTTCAGGAAAGCTTCTCTCCACGATGAATTTAGTTTATCCTCCGCTGAGCCATCTTTCTCAGAATCTCCATCCAATTTGTTCACATTCCCTCTAAAGCAGGTCTTGCTTGAACCATTTTCCCTTGACTGCTGAGAATGCAAGAAAGACATAAGCTTTATCGGCAGGGTATCCTTCACCCTGCGCGCAACAAGGTGGCCGTGTGGACCATGGCCGTCGAATACGCCACAGAAGATTGCGTCCTCCGACATGAAATCCTATAAATAACAAATCAAAAGAGCACCAGATCAAGCACTTTAGCAGCGGTAACCCAGACAACATATTTCAATAACATTCACGGGTGAACCAAAAGGAAAAAAGATAAGAACTTACTTCCCAAACAATCATGGCATCCTGGTTAATGCCCTTCCGACCCTGCTGTGTGAATATGCAAGACGTTCGGCTCTTTCCATTCATGAAAATCCTGTTCGGTATGGAAGGCAAATGCTGGAGGGCGATGACATGATCAGAGAATGTCCGCTTTGTTCTCTTTTGCCCGAGAAATCCAATGTCCCAGCAAGACGGAGAAAATGTATCTCCATTGCTTTTGCTACTACAAGTACTCTTACTACTAGTGGAAACACAACCTCCCATTTGCTCAGCTCCAGAAGGAAGACATCCGGGTGTAAATAAAGATAACAAGATTCCTTCTTTTTGCACAAATAGATCTCACATGAAACTCTGAAATTTAGCTAGAACGGTCAACTAGGAAACAAATAAGAAAGGAAAAAAAAAAAAAAAAAAAACTTATTGTTCAGCCAAAAAAAAAAAAGAAACTTTCCAAAGACCAAAGATTCCCCACAGGTTAATCAGAAGCCACTTTACAACTAGATATAGAAAACTATGGTCGTTTTGTGTTGGTCAAATATAATTATCCGTCGTTGCGACGGTACGTGATTCGATAAGGAAACCAGCTTAACAAAGCAAGAAAGGTATTAGTTTAATTGAATTGTTTAATAAGATGATCTTCACGGAACCCAGAACCGGATGCATCTAAAGAAACCAAAAAAGATAAAACAAAAACATATTTAACAATGTCCAACATGTGAACAAGGAATAGAATATGCTTAAAAAGAGGTTGTCTTGACCATTTGTACTTTTATCAGGACTCACATTGATAAAGATCAAGTGGTGAGGCTTTGCAAAATTCAATAGGACAAAATATGCAAATAAAAATTGAAACTAGTGAAAGACGGAAAAACCCAAAAGTTCTTAACTTTGATGAGACTATAAACTACTGAAGCAACAAATTCAAGGATCCCATAGAAAAACCCATCATCTTGGATTAGCCTTAGAAGCTAAAAATTAAAAAAATAATAATCAAAGAAAGGTTTGTTTTTTTGTTTTTCCTTAACACTAGAAACACAACAAGACAAAATTCCGGCCAAGGGAATCTCCAATGACGCATCACAAAGGCGATTCAACTTATTCATAAGGGTTCAAACAAACAAAATTTCTAGGATTATATTCTTCAGACTTAAAAAGAAAATGAAAAAGTAAAAAAGCTTGGTTTATAAGAAACACTTCTCTCTCTTTCTACATCCACGTTTTTAAATAAATTTTGCTGGGTGATAAAGAGAAAACCTTGTCGTTTGAGCTCAAATAAACAGATCAAATCAAGAAGAAGAAAATTTTCAGAGAAAACCCAATTTGAGACTCACTTCTTCTACATTTGGTTGCTAAGAAAGAAAGAGCCAAATAACTCTTGAAGCCCATTTTGACTTATTAATGGAGTGCTCTAAAAACCCCATGAAAAAGAAGACTTACAGAGTTGAATATCTCCCTCTTTTTCCTTCGCTTTCTCAGCATCCAAACAGAGAATAGATTTCGGCAAGCAGACGCTTTGAAGAGAGAGAGAGAGAGAGAGAGTGTGTGTAAAAGAGAGGAATTTTCGTCTCTAAATCATGGGTTTGATTGAAAGTAGAACTAACAATAACAAAAAAATCTGTACAATGAAAAAGACAACGTGTAGGAGCTTTTACTTTTCCACTCGGAGAGAAAACCGAGACGAGTTAAAGCTAAAACGGAAAAAGCAGGAAAAAGACGAAAGATGTGATTTTGTCAAAAACAGAATCAAGTAAATATTACGTAATTATCATACAAAGGACAAAACAAATAAAAGTAGAGACAATACTGATGCCCTGTTTCCAATCGAGAAAGTGCAGAAAAAAAAACACGCTTAAAAAAAAGTTTTTTCCTTAACAAATTTTATTTAATGCTCTATTTGGTAGAGTCATGACAAAACCAAAAAATAAAAAATAAAAGTCCAAATCTGGGTTCTCTCTTTTTTTTTTTTTTTTTTTTTTTTGGTTTTCACACAAGAAACCATAACTCTTGCTTGAATTCCTTTTCCTAAGTTTTTCCCAGTTACCAAAATGAGCCATAAATCCAAAACATTAACATGCATGTATTACTATTTAAATCTAATTAGGCAAAGCAAAGACATAACCAATACAATAACACAGGAATAGGAGGGAAAAGCATTGTGGAAATGGTGGATCAAAGAACGTGAATTACCTTTTTTTTTTTTTGGGCAAAAAGAGTTCCAAAAGCAAAGGGAGATCAGAGAAGAGAAGGAAAAAGAGGGGGTTGAAGAGGATTATCAATAATGTTGGGGAGGAGGGTGGTGGTGCATTAATTGCAATGGCAAGGGAGAAAAAGTAAACAGAGCAAGCAAGTGTTTTAGAGAGAGAGAAAGAGTGAACGAAATTGAAGGAATGAGGAGAGAGATTTGATTGATTTTGGGCAGCAGTTACTAGGGGCAGTGGGGTTGGCTTTTGCCACTCTCATCTGCCCAAAATGATGATCCAGATCAATTTCCCTACCCAACTTCACGCTCCTGTCCCGGCGCGTTTATCGAGTAGTGGTATAAAAATCATGAGAAAAAAATTTTCACGAGAATTTTGGGAGGGTGTACAAAAAGGGTATTTTGGTTTCTAATCTATTTTGGTACTTAAACTTAAAAATTCATTTAGTTCGTTAATTTAAATTTTTAATTTAAATTAAAATATAATTTTATATAAAAAATATTATATTAAAAAAATTAAATATTATTATTTTTAATAATTTTTTACTGTAATAAAATTTAAATTAATAAAATAAATAAAACTTTAATGTCACTTTTTTTTCTACCCAAACTATCTAAATTGTCTTAGAAATAACCCTTTTTTGTCACAATATCGTTAAAATTTGAATGGAATCGATCACATGAAATCACGTGCTTCGTTGTTGACACAAGTGAAGTTTATTACCCCTTAACGTCATCGCCCTCATTCTTTTTTTTTTTTTTAAAAAACCCAAAGTAAAAAAAAATCAGTCTCTTTTTGAGCAAGTATGCAATTATTTATCTTCGGCGCACTATTGGCTCCACAGCTTTGAATTTTAGAAGAGTTCTCATCTACTACATCCACTCATGTTTGTTTATCCATTTTATATAAATCATCTGATTGATACGTTTAAACTACTTTTGAGGGACTAGTACGTCTAACTTTAAATTGGTATTCGTTTATTTCACCGATTTGAGTTTAAAATTTAAGTTTTGTTACAGTAAAAATATCTTAAAAACAATCACATCTAACTTTTTTACTACAATAAAAAGCTTTCACATAAAATCACATCACAACTCAAATTAAAAACTCGAATCAGCAAACTAAACGAACCTATTTCCTCAAGAGTTCTTCTATTCATATATAATTTGTTTTTAACAAAAATTAAAATTCTAAAAGATTAGTGCGAGCAATGTAAAAGTATGAATAATAAAGTGAGGTTTTTTTAAAAAAAAAATTTAATACGTTTGATGTAGTAAAAAATTAATTTTTTTAACTGTTAAATTTATATATTTTTTAATTTTATATAGATATTATGAATAAAAAATTTAACTCATTGATACGTTGACGTAACAAACAAAATTCCTTTTTTTAATTGTGGGTTAAAATGAGAATGATTGGAAAATTCGGAGTAATAGGAATACTCATGACTTCAAAATACTACAAACGCCACGCGCTTTTAGTCGGAGTGGAAACTCGTGGAACCACTTGGTAAAATTTCAAAGGACAGAAAAGCACGCTGAACTGACACATACTTCGGGTCTCGTGACGTGGCACTCAAAGCAAAATGTCCCACCACCCATTTCCAAAGAACAAAAATAAATAAAAAATAACAGAAATTAGCAAAACACAGTCACCTCCAATCCGTGTTAGGCTTTGCTGTCTTTCTTTTCTTTTCTTTTTTATTTTTGCCATCCGTTTTTCTTATTTATTTATTTGGGAAATTATAAAACAGGGAATTCTAGTGGTCTTTATTTAAAATGCCACGTTCAATTATGACCTCCACAAGAAAAATAGTTTGCACAGACAACTTTTATATTTTATTAACATACGAGTTTTCTCCATATAGATATTTTTTTATGGCTTTTCTCCTATATTTTTAATAACAAAACTATCTCTTGTTTTTTTTTTTTTTTTGAAGTTAAACTATCCCTTGTTTTTAAAAAAATTAAAATTAAATGAAAATTGAAAAAAAAATAAATAGAAGATAGTAAAATACATCAAAAATATCTGATTTTTTTTAATTAAAAAAGAACTGACTCTTACAAAATTTTTAAGGAGACGTTTGGTTCATGGATTAGAATCATGTGATTAGAATCATTTTCAATCTATATAAATTTTTTGTGAAAAAAAATACTATAGCGAACTATGAATTATAATTCAAAACATGGTTTGAATCCTCTAACCATAGTGATCATCAAGGATGGAGGGAATTAAGGACTAGGAAGGGTTTAAGCACACCCACTCAACTTTTTATTCATTTTAAAAATCTATAGATATATTTATCTCAAATTATATTATATCCCCACAAAAAACATGAAAACCTGATTAAGCTAAAGCTCCCCTCAATTTTTTTTTCTTAAATAAAACTTATATATCTATTGTATCACACACTTGCACCATATGGTTTTTTTTTTTTTTTTTTTTTTTTTTTTTTTTGAGCAATGCAAGATATTGAGCATTGTTGCATTGCCGACACATTTGTGACCACTATAATGTCCCTCAACAACCGTCATTAGAGATCGTCCTCTTCTTCGCAAGATGGATCTCATTAGGGTGGGATAGAGAAGAGTTTTCATCAACTCTTTTTCTTTCTGTAAAAGAATAGTTAAGTGGACATTTTTGTGAAATAAAAAAAAAATTATCATTACCAAAAATATATGATAAAATCTGATATTTTGATACCGAGCTTTCTGCTACTATTGGTCTCATAATTTTAAACGAAGCTCATTTTTATGTATATTACGTCCTATCAAAATCAAACAAATTATATTATAGGCTTATCCTAATTAGAGGAACACCACTTTTAGTGTTGAATTTCAAACATTATACTAATTTTTAAATTAAAGTGATATAATCAAATGTGTAGACTTTAAAAAGTGAAAGGAGAAAAAGTTCATGGCCGTTTATTCTTGAAGTGTATTGGTCTTAATTTTTACCGCTTATTATTGATTATATACTTTTTTAACTAATATAATTTAATTAAAAATATAATAATTGAAAGATAAAAATAAAAACCTAAAATTATACACTCTTAAAATTTTTTGTCTTATTTCATATAAAATGTTGATCTTATGCCAACTGCAAACATGTCATTATGCCGCCATCGTTTGTGCCCCATGCACCATTTTCCTTAGACATATTGTTTTGCCCATTCTTTTCTTTTTTTATATGAATTTTTTTTATACCAAACACTAAATGGTATATATTATTTTATATAGAAGGTTTTTATATTTTTTCTGAATATTGTTATAGAGAAGTTTGTAATTGTTTGAGTCGGTTAGTTGGATATTGTTGATAAACCTTAGCACATGCATAAAATAAAATAAGATGTACAACTCCAGCCACCACAAGATTAATATATTATGCTTACATGCTTGTATACGCACATACATGTCAACTTTTTTATTCCTAAGTATTTCGAGTCAATTAGCTTTTAGTTTGTTAGACTATATAATGTTGATAATACACGACACTCTACATGTTCACCATAAGGAAAACAAAACAAAAAACACAAAACAAATTGTAAACTGTATATGTTGTCAAGAAAATTAAAAAAAAATTAATTTTTGCTCTAATTGAAGGGGCAAAAAAATATGATGTTAATGCATGAGAAACACTCTTGTGGTGGACAAACATTGTGTTTATCCATAGAGAAATTGTAAAAATGTTACGCCCTCAAATAAGGGTTATTGATATAGAGACTTATTTATAAATTTAAACGTGTTTAAGAAAGTAATTAAACAATTAACAGTTCAAAATTAGATTTCAAATCTAAAATATTCAGGTATTTCCAAACAAATCCCATTATTTATAAGAAATTAAGTTTCAAGGAAAGTCGTGGAAATTCTAATAAAATAAGTTCAAAACCTCACCTCTGGTATCATATCAGGAATCCCTACAGGTTCAGCATACATGAACATAAACAAGAAGGTAAATGTTGACATCAACTACAGTCTAGTAATATTTGAGTTTACAATCCATAATTTAAAACATGCTTTAAGGAAAATAGGAAGGAAAATGAAGGGAGTGTGCAAATCTTCACTTCTTAGAGTAGGATTCACCTCACAGTCCGAACATATCATCCGGAACTGATCATCCTTTAAAGCAAGGAAATAATATAATAGTAGCAAAATATCTAAATAATGAAAATATGCAAAGCTATAATATCACCACTAAGCAAGAAGTGGTTTGTACGAGTTTTAGGACCTGCCCCAAGGATACGATTCCCATATCCCGATCTCTGTGGCCATCATGCATTTTATCATTTCTTAAAGTATTTCATTTTAAGAAAGAAAACTCTTTAAAATCTCATTTCCAAATTATTAGAAACGCAATAACATTATTCATGTTATTTCCTTTAAAATCATTTCTTTCTTTAAACATGTTTTGTGTTTAAAACATTTTCATACACCAAAATCATTTAAATCATGGC